GCGCCTAGTCTCAAGCATAGTTTTGACTATGATTTTTGTTTTAAACTCTGACTTTAGATCATAACTCCCACTCAAGATGTTATCCAATTGTGTAATAATTGTTACAGGTTACATGAGTAATTGTTTCCTAAAGCAGTATGGATAAGAATTATATATTTGGGCTCAGTGCCCATAGCATAGTGGTTACAGCGCCAGCTACATACACTGAGGCTGGCAGATTCGAACCCAGCCTGGGCCAGCTAAACAATGACAACCACAATAAAAAATAGCTGGGCTTTGTGGCGGTCGCCTGTAGTCCTAGCTACTTGGGAGGCTGAGGCAAAAGAATCACTTAAGCCCAAGAGTTTGAGGTTGCTGTGGTGCCATGCACTCTTAACAGGGCGACATAGTCAGACTCCGTCTCAAAAAAAAGAATTAGAGCAGCGCCTGTGGCTCAAAAGAGTAGGGCGCCAGCCCCATAGGCTGGAGGTGGCGGGTTCAAACCCAGCCCTAGCCAAAACCTGCCAAAAAAAAAAAGAATTACACATTTGGAGGATTGAAATGATTTGGAGAGAAGATATGTGAACTAGATGTTAACATAATAGGCAGGGTTTGGGTGAACCAACTAATAGTTTCATAACCCAACGCATTGGTTTTCAAGTCATAAATGGTAAAAACAGTAGCTGCGTTTGCTGAACTGGAGAGTTCTGGAGCCCAGATCAGTAGGTAAAAAATTGCTGTGTTTATCACTATATTCTCCATTGTACTTTCACTCATTTTAAACATTTGGGTGCTTTCTATAGGCTAGGCACTGCAATGCTATAAAGATCAACCAGACATGTTTGCCCTTAGGAAATTAGTCTAGTTGGACAGAGACTTAAACATTAAATGATACAAGATAAAAATCAAAAAGACCCGAAAAGATGAAGTGCTGTGGAAATTCAAAAAAGGAATAGAGGCCAGGTACTAGATGCAGCAGCATGGAGAGACTATTATTTTACCTTCAATATGTCCCTGTGAATTTTATGACGTGTTTATTTGTATTTTACAAATGGAAAAATTAAGTATGTATGAATACATGCTAATGCGTACTCAACGTTATACTTCAGGTCTTCTGGTTTCCTATTCTACATTCTATGCATCGTACCTTTTATTTATTTATTTATTTTTTTTTTTGAGACAAAGTCTCACTTTGTTACCCTTGGTAGAGTGCTATGGTGTCATAGCTCAAAGCAACCTCAAACTCCTGAGTTTAAGCAGTTCTCTTACCTCAGCTTCCCAAGTACCTTGGACTGCAGGTGCCAGCCACAACACCCAGCTATTTTTAGAGAGGAGGTCTCTCTCTGGCTCAGGTTGGTCTCGAACCTATGGGTTCAGGCAGTCCACTGAACTCAGCCTCCCAAGTGCTGGGATTACAAGTGTGAGCTACCTCACCCAGCCTTCTGCATCATACCTTATTATCTTCCTTAACTGTTTTTAAAGAAATCTTAGACAAGTTCATGCAACACTCTGCTTATAGTATCATAATAGTAGTAAATAATAAACTGTCTCTTAGATTAAAAAAAAAACAGGCACATGTATCCAAAATCTTCATCTACCTATTTTATAGAGAACATAATTAAGTAACTTTGGATATATATCTGAAGACATTCATTTTTATTTATTTTATTTATTTATTTGCTTATTTTTTGAGACAGAGTCTCACTGTCTCACCCTTGGTTACAGTGCTGTGGCATCACAGCTCACAGCAACCTGAAACTCAGGCTTAAGCAATTCTCTTGCCTCAGCCTCCCGAGTAGCTGGGACAACAGGTGCCTAGCACAATGCTGGGCTATTTTTTGTTACACTTGTCATTGTTGTTTAGCTGGCCTAGGCCAGGTTCAAACCTGCCACCCTTGGTATATGGGGTCAGCGCCTACAGGCACTGCCCTCAAGCCTTTTTTTTAAATTTATTTTTGAGACAGAGTCTCACTTTGTCTCCTTTGGTAGAGTGCCATGGTGTCGTAGCTCTCAACAACCTCAAACTCTTGGGCTCCGGCAATTCTGTTGCCTCAGCCTTCCCAAGCTGGGACTACAGGTGCCCACCACAATGCCTGGCTATTTTTTAGAGATGGGGTCTTGCTCTTGCTCAGGCTGGTCTCAGACCCTGAGCTCAAGTGATCCACTCGCCTCTGCCTCCCAGAGTGCAAGGATACAGACATGAGCCACCATGCTTTGCTTCAGGGCACTGATTTAATTAGTTAGAAATTTTAAAATACTTTTTTAATTGTTGTATATCTTTAGTCCCCTTTAATTTGGGTAATTCCTGAGTCTTTCTGTATATTTGATGGCTGTTTAATAGTTTTGAAGAATGTAAGCCAGTTATTTTTTATAGTGCTTTTCAGTTTGGATTTGTCTGTTTCGTTTTGGCAATACCACAGAATTGATGTCTAGTTCTCAGAACACATGCTGTTGATAGGCCCCATACACCGGCAATGCTAACTTTGATCTTTGGTTAAAATAGTTCCTGCCAGATTTCTCTGCTGTCAAATTACTATTTTTTACCCTTTGTAATTAAAATTTAATCCTTTGGGAATATGTTTTGAAAATAATATTTCTCAAACTTTCACTTGATGATTCTTGCCAGAAAAATCATTATAATAATGTTTACCAAGTGGTAATTTTTCTGTCATCCGTTTTACATATATTAACTGTCTTTTACTGTGAGGAGGAGCTTCTCCTTATCACATTAAAATTTTTTTTTTTATGGAAGTATAATCTGGGAGGCCAAGGCGGGTAGCTCGCCTGAGCTCAGAAGTTGGAGATCAGCTTGAACAAGAGCAAGATCCTATCTCTACTAAAAATAAAAAAACTAAGCCAGGCACGGTGGTCACGCCTATAATCTCAGCACTTGGGAGGACGAGGAGGGTGGATTGCCTGAGCTCACAGGTTTAAGACCATCCTTAGCCAGAGAGAGACCTGTCTCTAGAAAAATAGCTGGGCAGTTGGCTGTAGTTCTAGCTACTTGGGAGCCTGAGGCAAGAGCATCTCTTGAGCCCAAGAATCTGAAGTTGCTGTGACACCATGGCACTCTACTGAGGGTGACAAAGTGAGACTTTGTCTCAAAAAAATAAAAGAGAAAAACTAGCCCACTGCTGTGGCAGGCACCTGTAGTCCCAGCTACTTGTGAGGCTGAGGCAGGAGAATTGCTTCAGCCCAGGAGTTTGAGATTGCTGTGAGCTATGACACCACTACTCTCCAGCCTGGAGCAACAGAGTGAGACTCTGTCTCAAAAGAAAAAAAGAGCCCAAGGAGTAGGGCACCAGCCCTATGTGCCAAGGGGGGTGGGTTCAAACCCAGCCCTGGCCAAAAAAAAAGAAAAGAAAAAGCCTCTACTTTGCATTGAATTCTTTTGCTGTTTGTTAGCTTTGTCACCATAGGCAATTTTTTTTTTTAATGAAATCATAGCTATGTACATAATGCAATCATGGGGTACAATGTGCTGGTTTTGTATACAGTTTGAAATATTTTCATCAAACTGGTTAACATAGCCTTCATGGCATTTTCTTAGTTATTGTGTTAAGTAAGACATTTAGGGTGGCGCCTGTGGCTCAAAGGAGTAGGGCGCTGGCCCCATATACCGGAGGTGGTAGGTTCAAACCCAGCCCCGGCCAAAAACTGGAAGAAAAAAAAAGACACTTATATTCTACACGTAGTAAATTTCACATGTACCCTTGTAAGATGCACCGTAGGTATGGTCCCACCAACCAGGGGGAAATTAACCTTGTTTGCTTCACCTGAAAATGTGAAAAGTGATAATCATACCTCTCTCATAGGATTATATTAGGATTTGACGAGAGTGCATATAAAAACATTTAGCACAGGCCTGGCTCCTATGGCTCAAGCGGCTAAGGCACCAGCCACATACACCTGAGCTGGTGGGTTCAAATCCAACCTGGCCCGCCAAACAACAGGGCTATAACCAAAAAATAGCCAGGTGTTGTGGTGGGCACCTATAGTCTCAGCTACTTGGGAGGCAGAGGCAGGAGAATTGCTTGAGCCCAGTAGTTGGAGGTTGCTATGAGCTGTGTTGCCACGGCATTCTACCCAGGGTGACAGCTTGAGGCTCTGTCTCAAAAAAAAAAAAAAAAAAACATTTGACACAGGCAGTGCTGTGGCTCACAGGAGTCGGGCGCAGGCCCCATATACTGGAGGTGGTGGGTTCAAACCTGGCCCCAGTCAAAAACTGTAAAAAAAAAAAAAAAATTTACACAATGTATAGTGTTATAGTAGCTAAATAGTTTCAGGTCTAGAATATGAAATATTTACCTTTTTTTTTTCTTTTTTTTAGTTTTTGGCCAGGGCTGGGTTTGAACCTGCCACCCTCTGTATATGGGGCCAGCACCTGACTCCTTTGAGCCACAGGTGCTACCCATATTTACCATTTTTTTAATCCAAATCAGTACCCTAGAAAATGGGGCATTTCTTTTTAAAATAAAATCAAGATAAAATAATTCACTAATTTTCTCCTTTTATCAAAATTTATGGTATTGAAAATGCTAAAAGGTGATAAAGTTAGCATTACTAGTAATTGAGTGAATTTAATAAATTTGTATGTAGTCATCTTGCTTTACGTATATTTTTTTTCTTCAGAGTGAACCGGAAGAAATGCCTCCAGAAGCAAAGATGAGAATGAAGAATATTGGAAGGTATTATAATTTTTCATAAATATTGTAGAAAATTATAGGGGTGAGTTAAGAGTAAAAGTTCAAACTACTGCACATTTGGGCAGAACAGTTACTAGCATTTTCTCTATATTTGGCAGCTAATTTGGATTTTCCAGATGAGTAAGGTATAGACCAGTTGTCATAACAAAGGGTAACAGTGATATAATAATTCTGTAAGCCATCAGTATTCTTATTTTCTCTCCTGGTAAGAGAAAATGAGTATCTATTAAATATAACAATAAGGCTGTTTCTTTTCAGATACACGTCACCTGTGCTTTTTTTGTATAAAATATAGCTATAATAAATGTGTCTGATCTTTAATTTAAAATGTTTTTGTGGAAGCCCAGTGCTTATACCTGTAATCCTAGTACTCTGGGAGGCGGAGGCAGGTGAATTGCTTGAGCTTAGGATTAGACCAGCCTGAGCAAGAGGGAGACCTTGTCTTTACTAAAATTAGAAAAACTAGCCATGTGTGGTGGTATCTGTAGTCCTAGCTACTTGGGAGACTGAGGCAAGAGGATTACTTGAGCCCAAGAGTTGGAGTTGCTGTGAGCTGTGATGCCATAGCACTCTAGGTGACAGAGTCTGCCTAACAAAAAAAAAAAAAGAACATTTTCTAGTATAAAGAGAAATGGAGGGCTGGGCTCGGTGGCTCACGCCTATAATCCTACCACTTTAGGAGGCCAAGGCACATGGGTTTCTTGAGCTTAGGAGTTGAACCAACCTGAGCAGGAGCGACACCGTATCTCTGAAAATAGCTGGGTGTTGTAGTGGGCACCTGTAGTTCAGCTACTTGGGAGGCTGAGGCAAGAAGATCACTTGAGTCCAAGAGTTTGATGTTGCTGTGAGCTATGACTCCATGGCACTCTACCGAGGGTGACAAAAAGAGAAAAATGGCTTTCAGTCACTTCACTTACATTATTTCTACCACTTAATCTTGATCTTATATGTCCTTTTGTTCCTTGGTAACTTGGATACCAAATACCAAAATAAGACAAAAATACTCTTTTTTTTTTTTTTTTTTTT